ATAGTTTTACGGTAAAAGAAAACCACACCATACGTGGGAGTGCGTATCTGGTGATACGGAACGTCACATGATACGCTGATCCAGTACTACATGGAGCGTTGGATCTGTACCGGAGGGACAGGATGAAGCAGACTCCCATCCCATTGCACAATATGCATACTGCACCCTAGACTATCTTGTAATTGAGCGACAAGTTTGGTTCCCTTCGTCATCTTCGCCTTGTATTCGGTCCTGCTCGCTCCCCCGCTGCCGTCGGGCACGTGAGAGTTGTTCCACCGCCACCAGCCACCATGACGGCAGTCCATGCACTCTTTCTAGCCTAGCCCCAATAATGCACAGCCTATTCATCTCGCGCGCGGTTGCTGAGTCCGTTGCTCAGATCCGATACAAACTCTAAATCTAAGCGGGCCGAGATAAACCTCTCTCCACCACCGACGTAGCTGGAGAATGTACACGGCAAGGATCGGGAAGAGGCAGCGCCGTCTTCTTTGTTGCATCGTTGGCCATTTCTCCCTTGTTCGACTTCTTGATTTTGCTTTAGTTTTAGCACTGGATGTCTGCACTGGGGGAGTCGTTATCGATTGGGTGATTCCTCTCCGAGCCGCTGGAGTGGCGTACCATGGCGCAAGTCCACGTTGTGCTGCCGACTACCATGGGACATGTCCAATCATCACCAATGTCTGAGCTGAATCTATTGGTGCAAGGCAAGTTATCTGTGTCAGTTGTGGAGGTTGAAGTTCGATATGCATCCTTCAAATGTGTTTGGCATCTGCATCCTCCAAATGTGTTCGATCTGCATCCTCCAGAGTTGTTGGCAATCCGTTCCTCGGAAAGTGCAATACATATCAAAGGTGACGAGCTCTATCTGGTTACTTTATCCTCTTATCCCATAGTGTTTGTCCAGCATCTACTTTTTCAGACTACATAAGATTGTTTTCTGAGTTTTTTCTCCACAATGTAACCCGTGTGACATTCGCAAAAATAAATGTAGCACTTAATCAGTGGAAGCCATCCATGAAAATATGTACAAAAGTCTTTATGTTGTGATGAATTTTCAGTAGGAAATAAGTTTGACCACATATAGACACACAAGAATGTGCTTCTTTCTTCGGCAAATTCCTTCTGTGAGTCATGGATTAGTTTTAGAAAGGACTGGAGTGTCACAACACTTACACTTGATGTGGCTAACTAATCCAAACTCAAAGACAACTGAAGTTATTCTCAGTTCTTAGCAACACGAATTAGAAAAGTTTGAAGGCTAAAAATAAGTTATTTACGTTGTAATAAGCAGATTTACTTTAGCTGGAGCTGCACTTGATGAGCTCCTATTCTGTGAAGGGCAAGCATCAGAAGCGATAATAATAAGAATCAACTATCTTATGATCAGTTAATAAAAAAGCAGTCCTGAAGCAATTCTATTGTCTTCCTATGCATAGTCCAGTACTTCCTTTTCCTTGATCCAATATTCATTTTTTTCCTTGATGCAAGCAAAATGGTGTCACACACTGAAAGTCCAAAAGCATGCTAGTAGAAAAATGTGTTTTGTCAGCTACCTATCCATTTTAAAACTTAGTATAACTACTTGATTTGGAACAGTTATTTCTCGAAATTGTCTGAGCCTGTTACAAGTATCTTTTTGTTATTTGTAGAGAAAACTTTATGAAGCAACTTTTTGCTACAACTCGAACTCTTGTGCATGGAAGAGAATTTACATATCCCTTACTCTGTACTAATCAAAACATATGTGTGGATACTCTGCTCATTTTGGTTCATTCTGCTACTTAATTATACGCTCTTCTTTATGAGCTTCTATCTTACCTAAATAATGTAGTAACTATTTAGCAGCTTGCTTTCATGGCTTTGGATCTTGCTTGAAAAAAAATAAGTGCAAGTGTTTTCTTGCAGCGGCGCAAGCTCGGCGGCAGCCGCTATGACCCCAATCTCCGGATTACTGTAACCAGAGGCTGGTTGTGCAGGTGGTCAAGCTGCTCGCGCACAAGGCCGAACCTGATGCCCTCAACGCCACCATAGAGGAACTTGTTCGATATCGGCTTTGGATTACTGTCATGCCATAAATAAGAGAAACATTGTTGAATCTGTATGAACTTGTAAACAAAGTGCTTACTTTAGCCATACTGGATTTTTGTTGTCGCTTGTTGTACGGATGATTGCTTATTTTAGATGATTTTTGTTGTCGCTTGTCATACTGGATTACTGTATGAACTTGTAAGCACTGTTGCTTATTTGTTTCAGCCGGGCAAGATTTCATCTTTACATTTCTTGGTTGATTCATTTTCTGTTGACTGATCCCATGTGAAGTAACCGAACATGGCCTAATGATGTGATTTAAGTTTGATCAATCCACGCCTCTTGGCTTGGTTCAAATAAGATCAACCGGGCTACAATATTCAATACTTGTAGGTAAAACTCAGAACTATTGGGATTTTGAGGAGAGATGTGGAAATCTGTTATGAGTTTGCAAAAACAGGCTATTTTCGAGGGTGCAGATGCAAATGTATCAAGGGGGTATGTGTAAATGATGAGCGAGTTGATCCTGTCCGTTGCATGCTGATCCAACGCAACACACAATCTTGAAGCAGCGTATCATGTGGTGAGCCGTATCACTCGATATTTTCCCCCATACGTGGGTAACATCATTACACGATCGTGCGTGCGGAAAAGGCATCATGCCGTGTGGTTAACAAAAGAACCGCCGATTAGAAAAAACACCCCGCCAGCGCCGGTCACACCAGTGTCGTCACCGCGCCACACACCATGGCCGCCCCTGCCCCGCCGTAACTTTTCCCGGGTGAAATCTTCATGCTTTCACATAGCTCCCCCCACAACCACAACCACAACACACGCGCTCCTGGCGAATCAACCTGTGATTGAGTTGGTTAGGTGGACAGTGGCATCCCCAACCCACCAGGGTTCAAATCCTGGTGCTCACATTATTCCTGGATTTATTTCAGAATTTCCGGCGATGCGCTTTCAGTGGGAGGAGACGTTTCCGTCGACGACGAGGCGCCTACGGTGACTTCGTAAATCTCAAGATGATATGCCGGCTCAGTCTCTCGAAGGTGCTCATAGGGATAGGATGTGCGTGTGTGCGTTCATAGGGGTGAGTGTATACGCGTGTATATGAGCGCTTGTGTCTGTACTGATGCTAAAAAAACACGCCGCCGTGATGACCCCTTTTGACCCCCGAGTGGCTATTATCACTTACCACGACGCGTGCAAGGCGTCCACCTCGCGTCCCGCTGTCCCGCGTGCGCTGCCTGACTGACCGCCCGACCGCTCCCCCGGGAAAAAGCGGCACCACGGCTCAGGTTTCACGGCCAGCCGTCCCCGCCCGCCATGGTGCCATCCGGAGCGGAGGCGGAGGTCGAAGCCGGCCGTCCGTGTCGCACGAGACAATACGACGACGCCGTCGCGCCCAACGCGGCACGGGCGGGAACAAAACAAACAAACGGAAAACAAGCGATTCCTTGCTTCCACGGCCACCAAAAAGTAAAGTAAACCGGCGGTGGCCAGCCCCTGCCCACTGCCCCTACCCATGGCGCTTTCCTCCCCGACTGCTGCCTTGCCCCCACGCCGCACCGCACACTCCTCCCACTGACAGCTCCGCACGGGGCCCCGCACGTCATCGGCGAGCGGCGCCACGCGACAAGTGCGGGAAGCGGGGTGAGATTTTCAGCGGCGCGTCGACACCTGGCCGTCGTCAACCCGGAGGCGGGGGCTACAAAGATCCACGGCGCGCGCCTAGTGGGTGAACTGTGTCCGCGCACGGGCATCACCGTACGTATACGTCTACGCATTTTAGCAGGACACCGGGCAGCCCAAC